ACCATAGATGGTCGGCGTTTTTTTTTTCTTTTTAAGTTTTGAATGTCGTGTCTCTCGCTTAAAAAGATTTGCAAAGATGTCGACACTGTGGCAATCGACCCGTGGAGCGTAAATCTACCCTGGCACAAACTGGCTCCAAATGTCAATGAATAGCCGCACACGTCTGACTCTAAAATCTGAGCGAAACAAGCGGTTAGCTCCTCAATGTATAAAAACTGTCATTTTCTTTTAGTTGTTAGTGGTAATGCCGTCATAGGGATTCATCTTTATTCTCCTTAAAGATTAAGTTAATTTGTCCATCTTCCCACTATGTGCATGCCATAATTTTTTGAAAAACTTTTTCTTTTACCTGTGCAACTCTCGCTCTCCAGACCTAGTTCTTCTTTCAATTGCGAAACTTTATCTTCAGCCATAAGTAAGAATAAAAACAGAACCAAACCAATTTCCTTCGTGTCATAAACATTTGTTTGAAAAACGATTCTGAATGCAAAGGTAAAACAGGTGAACATATTACAGTCTAAAACATTGTAGAGAAAAATTGGAATGTATCCTATATTTTTAATAAATTTTTTAATCAACCAGGAAAATAAGAAAGAAAGATAACAAAACACTGTACATGTTATTGGACCGACTGCGCTTGAATATGAAATGGAGTTAAACGTTATAAGTTTCCTAGCTTCAGAATGATGAATATCCGAGTTTCAACAGTTTCCCACAGTAGCGCTCTTACTTGGGATCGTCTTGATCCCCCATGGCGAGTAGAATAAAGAAAAAAACTAAAATCAGTCCACTAAGTTTGCAGGGATAGTCGTCATTTTGTTGATTTTCGATAAGTTTCAGGTCCTCAAAATAAAAACCGTAGCAGTCCTGACGCTGGTTTTTTCGTTGTCTTTGGTAAGTTGTTCATATAAAGCTTAAAAGAGATTACTTTTCGTTTCGGAACCAGAAACGCTCTAAACCAAGTTGCTAATCCTTTAACTTCCTTGAGTGAATAGGACAGAAGTTATCCTTAAAATAAAGGAAAACATCAATTGGGAGATTATTAGTTGATCCAATACCAGATTCCCCAAACTAACATCATTAGAATTGTATGGCAGAAGGTAAGGAGAATTACTAAACATGATCTTAGGGCTAAAAGGGTTTAAAGGTATCTGGTTAGAGCGGTAATTATCGATAAGGCTAAGCGGTGC